TGTTTTTAATTTCATTGCCGGGAACATAAAATAACAAGGGTATTCCCCCTTGAATTTAATGCCGTTAAAAATAAAGAAATTAAGGGATATTATGTTTTTCCCTTCTCCCCTACTGGCCGTAATCCCTTTTCCTCATCTTTAATTATGGTACTAAAATAGATAAAAATTTGAGGCCTCATTTCGGCCCCGGTCGTATGCCGCAAAAAATGTGGCTGCGAGGTCAGTTCCCGCGATGCCTCTCCGCGGCAGGCCAATCCGGGTCTAACCCTCGGAACGACCGGAAATGACGGTCCGTTGATGTGCCGAGTGCGACCACCCATCTCGCCATCTTTGGGGGTTACCCGTAAGGTTCAGCCGCCCAAAATCAAGGGCGCCCTGAGCTCCCCTAATTTTCGCTGCATGTTCTAACCAGAGTACCGTCAAAACTCTGACTCGTCTTTGCGCCTAAGTCCCAAAACCGTAGATTTCAGGTGGCACACTACTTGTGGCCGCCTAACACCGTGCCGCTGTGAAGCGGATCCACCCAGGACTGGGCGGCTACAGAGCTGTTTGGAAGCCGCGAGGGCGGTAATGGGCAGTCGTACACCAAACTCCTCCAGCAGGGGCTCAGCGACCACGATGGCGATGGCGGCGTGAATCTGTCGTTTGGACTTGGTAACGGGAGGTCGTCGGCCGTCTCTAGAACGGTCATCGTAACCCCCCATCCCGACGACGATGGCGGCGAAGTGTCCCATCGTAAATCCCCACTTTTTCGAAGACGGCTGACCCATCGTCATCCCCTTGTGTACATACGTCATGGGAAGCAGTTCGATTTCGTAGCCGCCGCCGTGCGCTCACCGACAAGTGGGATCATGGTGGTGGGTGTGGCGGGAAGGGAGGTTCTCGCCGAGGAGTTCTCGGTGGTGAAGATCGGAGAGATGGGGGAGGGGGTGGGGGGGGGGGGGGGGGGGGGGGGAGGGGGTGCTTGTCGGCAGCGTGATCGTTCATGTGGGTGGACGTCCCGTAATGGATGTTTGATCGCCGTGGCGGACAGGTCGTCGTGGGGGTGTATCATTATCCTTCGGTTTCTTAATTTTTAAAATTTTTTTTTGTATCGTCACAAATCGATGTTCGCATCTGTCACAGCGAACATGCAACACCTGACATTGGTGTTCATGATGTGATCAGCGCCCTTGTGGCTTCTTGTGTTCATTGGTATTGATGATGTCTACACGTCGTTGTCGCTTCTTTTGTTCATTGGTATTGATGATGTCTACACGTCGTTGTCGCTTCTTGTGTCGTTCGTTATTGATGATGTCTATAGCTTCTTGTCAATTCCTTTGTATTCCGCTTTCATTTGCTTGCACCATTGTCATGGCAATACTGACATGGAAAGTGGTGATGGATGTATGGTTCAACCGATGCATGATTACAGATTGACGGATTTTCATACAAAGCATTCGAAATGCGAGCACAGATGAAGGCAATAAAACTGACACACACACAACGTCTTCCAAACTAAGTACTTGTCATTTGTCAGAAACTCGGAAAACAAGCTCCAGGACTTAAAAAAGATTACAAGATATGTTGTTTGAATGTTGTCACTCCCGGCAAAAGTAGAACACGTCACAATTAGGATGAAACAGGCCTTGAAGGCAACTTCGATCCCAACCAGCGGAAAAAAAGAACACACACCCCCGGAAATGGACTACGTCACTCACAACCGTCACTCACGGTGGCACCATACTAGAAATCATCGGAAAGACAGACAACTACACACGCGTGACGAAACCCCCGCCGACGACGCGTTGGACTGTGCCATCGCCATAAACCCCACCCGGCGACAAACTCGTAAGGGCGGCGCAGTACGAAAGTACACCAAACTAAAGTGCGCCAGACAAGCCGCCTCATGCACGCCAACGGCCACCGATACAGGCAGCGGTCCATGAACTCCCTAGTGCCACAAAACGGAGCGACAAGGAGAACGATGCCAACACAGACCACCATCCGCACGCTTTCTTGCCGCACCGACGCCATCGCAACCCGCCGCTCCGAAGCCGGGATTGTT